TGTTCAGATTTATTATTAACTCATTTTTTATTTTTTTTTGAGTTTCCTCCCTTTCTATTGCAAAGGCCCCATATATTTAATGTAGAAGCAGAACTGACTTATTTACTTCACGCTCTCTAAGATATAGCTTCGACAAATGATATTCGTGTAGTGGCTGCTATTGATATATACGATTTTTATTTTTTTTTAATAAATTTCAACGAAAATAAAATCATTGATAAGTTTTTTTTTTTTGTTTTTTTTTTTTTTTATCATTATTATTACAAAACTATTCCTTTAAATGTGATGTGTTGTTTCGTGTTTAGATTTTGGAACTACGTATTCGGTAAGTTCTTGTTAGCATCATCTCGCAGAAATAATTTAATGTCCTCAATGCCTTGCGCCTATAAATAATAGGGATTTGCATACGCACCTAAGAAAAGTCCCGATGACATATTGTGTCAAGATTTTGAAGGAAGTTTCAAACGCCCACCGTACTTCGATACGATGAGAGGTTTAAAGTAACCTCGTGGGGATTTCCGGCGTTATCAGATCGAACATTTCGAAAATCGAAAGAATCAAAGTCGGTAGAACTATTTAAATTGCATTTAGGAAATATCGAAGAAAAACCATATTTGCCCGAAGGGTTGGATTATAAGAAAGCCATTATAGATTATTTACATGAAATGGGTAAATTGTTGAAAGAAAAGCTGAGTAGATATAAGTTCCTGGAATTTTTTAATCAAGTTATTATCATCTTGACGGTACGTAAGAATGTTAAGTTATTTTGAAATAAAGATTTTCCCGTCTCGTGATTAAAAATTTTCGCAATCGATATATGATATATAGGTACCTGCAGAATTCGATAATAATGCAATATCAATCATGCGTGAATGCGCTTTTAAAGCTGGATTAACGAATGAAAAGAACAGTAGGAATTTAAAGTTTACTACGGAACGTAAGGGATATCACAGATATATTTGATATATGTTATGATTTCACGTGATATAAAACTAAAAGGTTTTGTGTAATCTGTTAATATGTTAGCCGAAGCTGCTGCGATTCATTGTATGAAGTTTCTAAGTGACAATGGAATAACATCGGGAGGTATGTATCATTTGAACCGATCTTTCTTTTATCAACATCCGATCAGCTTTAACCGATTACATCTCTTTTATTATAGATTCGTTTATGACAGTTGATTGTGGTGGCGGGACAGTAGATTTAACGACGCGACAACTTTTATTTGACAACGCACTCGGTGAAGTAACCGAACGTACTGGAGATTTTTGTGGCTCTAGCTACGTTGATCAAGAATTCATTAAATTTCTTGAGCAAAAAGTCGGAAAGTCTGCAATTGAACTTTTAAAGAAGAATCATTATCGTCAACTGCAGTGTTTAATCCAAGATTTTTGCAAAAATGTTAAGCTACCTTTCATAGGATATGAAAAAGATTTTAAGTTTACTGAAATAGATCTTGGAGGTAAACATTCTTGATAAACACGTACTTGATTTTCTATTTTGATTATATAATTTATTTTTTTTTTTTTTTTGAATTTTATCATTTAGATCATTGTCCTGAATTGAAACAATATTGCAAGGACGATATTTTTATGGAAATGGAAGAATTAGATTGGCTTATTGAACTTACTATTGATGATGTTCGAGCCATGTTTGATCCTATTATTGCAAAAATTTTCCAATTAATTCGAGGTCAATTACGTTCAAATGATCAGCAATTATTATGGTTGGCGGGTTCAGCGAATCGAAATATTTACAAAAAAGGATTAAAGAAGAATTCCTAGATTTTGTGCAAAATATTTCGTTTCCGACTAATCCAATTTTGGCAGTAATTAAAGGGGGTAATTATTTTTTTTTTTAAAAAAAAAAATTGCTTATTATCCGAACATTTTAATCTAATATCGAATGATTTTAAAATTATTTCACTAGCCGTTCAATTTGGAATGAAGGAACACGTAATTACAAATCGTGTTTTAAAATGGACATACGGTATTATTATTATTATACCTTTAAAATCGCAAATGTTTTTTTACAAATTGCCTTTTTTCCAGGAACTGATATTGCCCGTAAATGGGAAGCGAACGATCCGATATCCAGAAAATTACCAAATGGTATGATAAAAGTGTTCCATCCTTTGGCCAAGAAAGGATCACATCTCACAAGTAAAGATGAAGTGACAACAGTATTTAAACCTTATTCTCTTTTTCAAAGAAAGGTTTCATTTAATATGTATCATACATCACAATTTGATGCCAAATATTGTGATGAAGATGATGATGTAAGATTGCTTGATAATTGGGAAATTGATATACCAAGATTAGATGACTTTGATGATCAAATCATTTCGCTCACTCTAAATTTTGGAAGCATAGAAATTTTAGCCAAAGCCGAAAACCAAAAAACTGATCAAAGATACGAAATTAAATTTAATTGTGGATAATTTCAAATTTTGTTACTTTTGTAATTTATTTAATTTTATTATTATCGTTATATTTTCATACAATTTCTTTATCAAATAAAAATGATTTCTTTATAATCGGTCGTGAAAATTTATCATTTTATTATGACACCACTTAAGATGCAATCACTTGCAGCATAAAGTCCTTCATTATTTCTTGTTGATTTTAGTATCACATCTACCGTTAATGTTTTTTCAAGTAAATTCGGCTAATAATAATTTACTCCACTATGCCACGGTTAGTTAACAGTTGAACAATTTGGTTTAATACTGTTACAACTTGAGTTTAACATATCATTTAAAAACTATAAAAGTATGAAGTACTTACGTTCTATATAAATTGCAAGTTCTTTGAACCTTTTTCTGTAGGACAATCCCGCATTATACATAATATAATTTACCGTACTTGAAAAATAGATTATGTTGAAATTGAACCAACCAAAAAAAAAAAAAGAAATTCAATCTATAAATCCTGTACCATAATAGATTTAATTTTTACATATCGCTAGGAAAGAATAAACGAATCAACGATAGAGAAGGTTAATGACCTAGATTGATTCCTCGTATTAGAAGAAATTACTGTGAACCCAGTTTAATTGAGGATTAATTATTCACGCAATAATTGCTTGCAACCCGGTTTGGTTTCTCGTGCAATTGAGGAATTTTTTTCACTAAAAAAAAAAGTGAAAAATAGTCAGTAACCTAGAAAGGTTTGCCTTCGCAAAGGAAAAATGGTAAGATGTCTTTCAACAATAAGGGCGTTTAATAGTCACGAATGATCCACACGTATACGTCCTCAGGTCTCCAAATAAGGGAAGCGCCTTGCAATCCGGAAGGAGTACCCTCGACAAAGGGACGGTTTGGCTTCGCCATTAGATTGCGAACGAGGAACTTACATTTAGCATAGCCCGCCGATTTCTCACGATATAGACAGGAAGAAGGAGTAGGGCTTGGAGTTTGAAGTTTGGAGGAGAAAAGAGGATGAATATCTTGAACGATAATTTAGCTTCACTAAAAACATTCTTTTTCTTTTTCTTTTATTTTCTGTAGTTGTGAGTTGTGAGAAAAATAGTTTTCGCTTTGTAGGAACCTCGGAGTCAATTTGTGACATTAATGTTTTTTTTTAATGGCACTCTTATAGGATACGTATTTATTTAACATCTTTTTAATCACCTGGACTCTATTCCGGAATCCCAAAATTCTAATCATCAAGAAAATTTTAAAGAAACAAGATTATGATGAAACTTTAAAATTAAGATGAGATTCACGATCATATTCCTCAAATCAATATTAAAAATTGTCAAAATAATAATTAGAATCGTAAATTTATTGAAAATTTTGCTATGTTAAAAATAAATTTACTGATAAATAATGATATAAATCATATAAACACCCCGTCCATAATTTTATTTAAATACTATAATATTAAAATTTAACCTTTTTGTCCTATACATATCAAACAATAATACTTAATGATAGAATACGCCTCTGATACAACCATAGCAGAACTTCTACTTTGCTTGAATGAAAAGTCTTGTGCAACTGTTGTCTTCTTGGAACCTTTCGTATTTGTGTTCAAGAACTTCATAAAGATTTACCGGTGACAAAATCAACCGACGGTACAATAGGACCATGAATAACAGCCATTAAACGTTCGCTTATGAATTTGTTTCATATTCATTCGTATAAGTTCTTCATCAGATTTTCGCACACTTCCCTCCAACTTTTATGTGATTCTATAAAAGTAAGTGTCTAATGACTTTACTTTCAGAAAGTATTAGGTTTAGGAGTGGCATTTATGATCAAGCAACTTTCATCTTAATTTTGAGAAACTATGGCTTGAAAACATTCAACAATTGTTGCAAAGACCTACTTTTGCGAGAAAAAAAGTCTAAGTAAAACGCGTTATCGATTAAAATGATTATTTTTGATTTGAAAAGTAGTTCATATAAATTAAAGAAAATAAAGCGACCAACCTTAGCTTCACGTTTCTGTAA